GGGGCACCGTCTCTTCAAAACGAGGACCCAACACCACAAGATGGTTGGGAAAAAACGTGATTCCTTGCACCGTCGACAAACAGGAAAACCAAAAATGCACAGCTTTTCCTTACATCGAGGGCGCCAAACACCCTGTATGTTTGTTTTTGTGTTACTACAAAGAGGAGGAAACGGAAAGGAGCATGAGGAGGAGGAGGAGGATGGGCGAGGAGGAGGAGGAGGAATTGTGTTTGGAGAAGGGGGAGGACGGTAGAAGAGAAGGGAAGGATGAATAAGAAGATGACGAACGCGAATACGATTCAAGATAAAATGTATGATCTCGGGGGGCACCCATACATATATATATATATATACACATATGTATATGTGTATATATATGTCGACATGCAAATATACATATATATATAGAGAGAGAGAGAACTACATATATATACAAATACATATATATATATACATATGTGTATGTGTGTGTGTGTGTCGGCGGTGCCCGGTGCGGAGCGAACTCCCCCTCAGGAATCGCTCGTCCTGGGGGGTTCGTGCTGGCCGCACCGCTGGTGCAGGCAGGTACGAAACCCCCCGGGATGCACGAAGCCCCCCGGGGCCGGTGCTCCCGGGTGCGAAACCCCCCGGGACGCCCCGCCGGTGCGCCCCAGTGCGAACCACCCCGGGATGACCAGAGCGCGGGGCAGCGCCCGGGCAGAGCGTGCGAGCGTCCAGCGGCGGCGTCGGCGGCGGCGTCGGCGGCGGCGACGACGGCATCCAGAGATCCCTGGAGGCCCCCGCAGCCCCAGAAGCTTCCCGGAAGTAGTCCCTGGACCATCTATGTCGTATCCGTCCGTCGATCCGTCCATACATACGCACCTCCATTCATACATCTAGTCCTCCCTCCCACCCCACGCCCACGCCCCAAAGACCCATCCCCCTCGCTCCCACGCAGCCCACCCCCGCCCCCACAGCAGCCCCCCCCACTCCCACAGGAGCCCCCCGCCCCACTATAGTCCACAGGGGGGGGGCGCCGGTGCGCCCAGTACAAAATCCCCCGGGGGGGAAGAGGGAGAGGGGGGGTTCCAGGTCGTGGGCGGCACCCGGTGCGCCCTGCACGAAACGGGAAGGAGGGGGGGGGGTTGTGCCACGGGACACCGCCGACATACATACATACATACATACATACATACATACATACATACATACATACATACATACATACATACATACATACATACATACATACATACATATATTATGTATAAATTATGTATGTGTGAATATATATATCTATATATATATATGTGTGTGTGTGTATGTATTAGAACGTGCGTGCGCGTGGCGCGCGCGTCACGCCCTGCGCGGTGGCGCAAGCGAATCACTGCGGCAGCGGAGTGTGATTTTCGCGCTGGGGTCGGCGCGCGGCGGCATGCGGCTCCCCCAATCGACTGGGCGGCGCTCGCGCGCGCCAGGGGGGGGGGGGCCTGGCACCGCTCGGACGTGTGCATGCTTCCTTCGGCGAGGACCATCGAGGAGCATCCTTGATCATTTAGAAAAAAAATTAGTCTGACGAAGGACCCAACCATGTGCAGGTGTGAATACCGCAGTTGACACTACCAATTTCGGTGGGGCTCCCTATAGGGCCACAAAACGTGTGAAGGGGATGGGTGTGCGGGACGCATGCGGGCGGCAGCACTGGGGCCTTCGGTGGAGCTCCCTATGGGGCCACGAAACGTGTGAGGGAGTTGACGAAATGGGTGTGGCTGACGCATGCGGGCGCGGGCACTGGGGCCTTCGGTGGAGCTCCCTATGGGACCACGAAACGTTTGAGGGGTGTGCCGAAATGGGTGTGGCTGACGCATGCGGGCGCGGGCACTGGGGCCTTCGGTGGAGCTCCCTATGGGGCCACGAAACGTGTGAGGGGTGTGCCGAAATGGGTGTGGGTGACGCATGCGGGCGCGGGCACTGGGGCCTTCGGTGGAGCTCCCTATGGAGCCACGAAACGTGTGAGGGGTGTGCCGAAATGGGTGTGGGTGACGCATGCGGGCGCGGGCACTGGGCCTTCGGTGGATGCTCATGGAGCCACGACGAACGTGCGAGGGGTGTGCCGAAATGGGTGTGGGTGACGCATGCGGGCGCGGGCACTGGGGCCTTCGGTCTCCCTATGGGGCAAGAATGAGGGGTGAGGGGTGTGCCGACTGGGGCCTTCGGTGGAGCTCCCTATGGGGCCACGAAACCGGGCGCATGCGGGCGCGGGCACTGGGGCCTTCGGTGGAGCGGAGCCACGAAACGTGTGAGGGGTGTGCCGAAATGGGTGTGGCTGACGCATGCGGGCGCGGGCACTGGGGCCTTCGGTGGAGCTCCCTATGGAGCCACGAAACGTGTGAGGGGTGTGCCGAAATGGGTGTGGGTGACGCATGCGGGCGCGGGCACTGGGGCCTTCGGTGGAGCTCCCTATGGAGCCACGAAGCGTGTGAGGGGTGTGCCGAAATGGGTGTGGGTGACGCATGCGGGCGCGGGCACTGGGGCCTTCGGTGGAGCTCCCTATGGAGCCACGAAACGTGTGAGGGGTGTGCCGAAATGGGTGTGGGTGACGCATGCGGGCGCGGGCACTGGGGCCTTCGGTGGAGCTCCCTATGGAGCCACGAAACGTGTGAGGGGTGTGCCGAAATGGGTGTGGGTGACGCATGCGGGCGCGGGCACTGGGGCCTTCGGTGGAGCTCCCTATGGAGCCACGAAACGTGTGAGGGGTGTGCCGAAATGGGTGTGGGACGCATGCGGGCGCGGGCACTGGGGCCTTCGGTGGAGCTCCCTATGGAGGCCACGAAACGTGTGAGGGGTGTGCCGAAATGGGTGTGGCTGACGCATGCGGGCGCGGCACTGGGGCCTTCGGTGGAGCTCCCTATGGAGCCACGAAGCGTGTGAGGGGTGTGCCGAAATGGGTGTGGGTGACGCATGCGGGCGCGGGCACTGGGGCCTTCGGTGGAGCTCCCTATGGAGCCACGAAGCGTGTGAGGGTGTGCCGAAATGGGTGTGGGGACGCATGCGGGCGGGCACTGGGGCCTTCGGTGGAGCTCCCTATGGGGCCACGAAACGTGTGAGGGGTGTGCCGAAATGGGTGTGGGACGCATGCGGGCGCGGGCACTGGGGCCTTCGGTGGAGCTCCCTATGGAGCCACGAAACGTGTGAGGGGTGTGCCGAAATGGGTGTGGGTGGACGCATGCGGGCGCGGGCACTGGGGCCTTCGGTGGAGCTCCCTATGGAGCCACGAAACGTGTGAGGGGTGTGCCGAAATGGGTGTGGGTGACGCATGCGGCCGCGGGCACTGGGGCCTTCGGTGGAGCTCCCTATGGAGCCACGAAGCGTGTGAGGGGTGTGCCGAAATGGGTGTGGGTGACGCATGCGGGCGCGGGCACTGGGGCCTTCGGTGGAGCTTCCTATGGAGCCACGAAACGGTGTACTGGGTGGGTGAAGAGGAGAGGCGGAGAGGAGGGGAGGAGAGGAGGAGAGGAGAGGAAAGGAGAGTAGAGGAGAGGAGAGGAGAGGAGAGGAGAGGAGAGGAGAGGAGAGGAACGCGGGGCACCGTCTTTTCAAAACGAGGACCCAACACCACAGGATGGTTGGGAACAAAAAAAAGGAATGGACGTCCGAGCGATGGCGAGGGGGGGACTCGCGCACCAAAACAACGGAATGGACGTCCGAGCGATGGCGAGGGGGGGGACTCGCGCGCCACACCGGTGGCAGTTTCGGAGCGCAGTTTCTCGCGCGAGGATCGGCGCGCGGCGCCAGGCGGCCCCTTCGCACGACTGGGCGGCGCTCGAGCGCGCGGGAGACGAACCGGCGCGCCGCATCGGCGGTCTGGGAAAACGCCTTTCGCGTTGAGGTTCCGCTCCGCGAAAAGGGTCGCACTTCGCTGCGCGACTACAGCGCGCGCGCGAGGGTGTCTCTGCGGATGCGTTGCAACCAGGTTGCGTATGCGCGCGCGTCGCTGTGCGACCACCGCGTGGGGGGGCCCGGGTTGCCGGGGGTGGGGTGCATCACAGTCGTGAGCGAAGCAGTTTCTGGAGGGCCATCACGCCGCGTCAGTATTCGTCGTGCGTTTCAGCATCGTCAGGTTTCCGCATGGTTCCCCGTGATTCTTGAGAGTTCGAGGCGAGTCCTTTGGCGGCGTCGTCGCAGCGGCTTGGCATATCCCGTGGCCTCCTGAAACTTCCTGGGGCTTCTTGGGCCTGAGGTTTCCTTGCATTTCTTGGGGCTCCCGGAGGCTTTTTGCAAAATCTTGGAAATCCACAAAGCTCTTGCCAACATCCAAATGGGACCTTGTAAGGCTTCGGGCTGTGCACGGACAGCCCCTACAGGTAGTCCTGGCCGGCCTCTACAGGCAGGCCCCTTGGGTAGTCAGCTGGCTTCAACAGGCCCACCGAGTTGCTTGGGGCGGTCTCAACAACCTAGCGCCGCTTCCAGCGGCACCCCTACGTCGTTCCGCTCCGTCGAGACCACTTCGAACTGCTCTGGGGGGGGGGCCTTTGGAGGCGGGCTGTCTGGGACTACCCAGGAAGCCTGTTGAGGCCAGCCATGACTATTTTGGGGGGTTGTTGGCGCGCAACCCGTAGCCTTTTTTAACCGGACCTTGCCTCCACGGGCAGCTGCAGCCATAGGACGATCACCACTTTCTGAGCCCATGGGGGTCAGCGGAGCGCCGCGCTACGGGCATTCAGCCGTGACGTCGGTCATTGCGAGTTGCCAAAAATTGAAGCCGCCGCCATTGCCAGGGCCCTTGGCTGCCCAGCAGGTCGGTTCGCCACAGTTGTCGCAACCATACCTCGCATGCTGAGTGTTGCTCAAGGTAAGGTTGCTTCCACTTTCTGAGCCCCTTGGAGGCCCAGCGAGGCAAAGCGTTGCGGGCCTCGGCATGAGACGTCTCCGCCTTGTGTGATGCCAAACGTCTTGGGATTTGGTGCGTTTCCAAGGCTACGTCGGATGGGCAGGGATGCGGGAGTGGAAGGAAAGGGGAGGTCTGAACAGGGCAAGGCGGAGACGGAGCAGCTGATCGCCGAGCACGAGGTCTTGGCCTGCCCCAGCCCCGCCCCCCCATGTACCCTTCCCGCCACCCGTCCGCGTTCGGCCTGCTACATCCCAATTAATCCCTCTACATATTGATTCCCACGTCCTTCCCTCGCCATATCTCACGTGCATCCTCCCAATCGTGCTCGTGCTCGTGTTGCATCCTCCCTCTTCTCCCTCCTCCCTTCTTCCACCCTGTTCATCCTTGCTCCCCCCTCCTCTCACATCCTCATCCCTCCTGTCCTTCCTCACCCGTTCCCGTCAGCACCCCTCATCACGATCCCTCAGTATCCCTTATAGTTCAATGAAAACGCCTACCATACATGATTATTCATGTCGTCTTCTATCCGAGTCAAAGCGGCATCATGGTATCGCAAGGTCATATTAAACAAGGGTCTTGTTCGCGCAGTTGACATTTAACTGGAGACCTTGTGAAAAAAGGTACCAGCCACCGCATACCACGTTCCAAAGCCAGGAAGCTTAGAGATGGACGGCAAGCAGTACGGCATGACTTGTGCAGAAGCGTCGCCTGGAATCACAACATGTATGAAAGTGTGCCTTCCCAGGATGCTTGCGACGACCATGCTTTGGCTTTTGGTACGAAGTGCTCCTGCACAACATTCAATATAGTGGATCAGTGGTTCTTAGAGCAGAATGACTATTCGAGCACACCTTATTCAGCACTCCGATAATGCACCAGGGCGCGTGTGGTCCGTTGTATGTATTAATGGTGCGATGGGCATCACGATACCGATGTTGGCGAATGCGATGTAGCTGGATGTTGCGCGCCGTTCCCAGTACCAATCAAACACGATTCGAAAAATAGCGTCGGGGACATCAAGAGCAATTCAGCTTTCGCGCCGTGGGCTCGTGGCGTCTAAGAAAAGTTTACACATAAAAAGAAAGTTGCCAGGCAAAAGTTCGAAGTTCAAGGGAGAGCGGCGAAACATCAAACTAAATAAGTTGCCGAATACCAATTCTGACCAATTCCCGGTAGTTTGATGCGTTTGTGCCGCTGGGCGCCCCGAAGCCCCAAGGAACCTCCCAAGATTTCCAAAAACCTCTGGAGACCCCCTCCTTTCGCCTCCTCTTCCCACCCTTATCATATTCTTCCAGGAGCAGCGGAATATCCTCCTCCTCCTCGCTATTAAAAATGCGGTCATGGGGCAATGTTGTCCGAAGGTTTCTCGCCACGTTCGGCATCCCGAGGCCCCTCCCGGGACGTGGGGCTACCAAACTGGAGCATTGTTCGTGTGTTTTTGTGTTACCCAGTTCAAACCGTCATTGGGGAATGTGTGGCTTGAGCGCTCACATGCCCAAGCACGAAAATCCCATTGTTCATTAAAACACAAACGTCGATAATTTAGCGTGTCGGTTTCCAATGGGCGCGTTTGATTTCCCAGATTGGATCGGATGATGATTGTTTATCGCGTTCATGTCGTTTGTTTACCGGTTGTTGTTGTGCGCAGGCAAAGTTCACGATCGTGGCTGAAACCTAGCCCAAGCCTGATGGATCAAGCCTAGCCCCACAGGACGCACCATATCCCCCCTCCTCCATTTTTTGTTACCTTCATATCCGCCTTCACGCTGATTTGCGCTGCACCCTAGTCCCTACCGGTACGCCCCCCTTCCAGGCGCGGGTTGTTGTTGTTTCCCCATGGTCGGGCTCCTCCCTGGTTATCCGATGTGTTTTCCCTATGTATTTAAACGCCTCGCTCATTCCGCCGGCCCGTCTTGTCATGGCGCCAACATCGCAGAGCGGATTTCGCTTGGAAAACACTGGGATGGGCCTGGATTGCCTTGGAGAGTGTCTTTCCGGATTTCGAAGAAAATGTCGTGCGGATTTTGTTTGGCCGGGAGTGGAGACTAGCAGACATCCACGTGAATTTTTTCACGCTTCGCGTATCCCCACCAGTGCGTAGCCCGCTCGACCCTTTCGGACGCCCCATGCGCTTCCGCTGGCGGCCGCGACAAAAAAAAGTATCCCCACCAGCCCATTCAGAAGCCCTGCCCACGAGAGCTGACGGGAAAAGGGTCGAAGGGACACATCTAGGGAAACAAAGCGAGCAACCAGAATGAACCGAGAGATCTCTGGGAGCAAGGGGGTGGCCTTTGAAGGCCTCTTCTGGCCATCCCTGGGGGCCGCGTGGGGGCGAGGGAAAGAGGAGGAGGAGGAGGAGGAGGAGGCCTCTTGGGCGCCTCTTGGGGCACTCTTGGGGCCTCCTGGGAGCTTCCTGGGGGCCTCTTGATGGGTTTGGGGGGGCCTTTGGGGGCTTTTGGGGGGCCTCTTTGGCTGTCTCAGGGCGTTCCTGGCTTGTCTGACGCCGTCGCAAGCCGTCTTGAGGGCCTGTCTGGGTAATCTTGGGGCCATCTTGGGGCATAGCAGGGGTTCTTAGAGGCCATCTTGGACGTCTTGGATGCCTCTTGGGCCGTCTTGGGGCCCTCCTGGGGCTGTTTTGGAGGCCTTTTTGGCCGCGATGGGGCCATCTTGGAGGCCTCTTGAGCGATCTTGGGGGCCTCTTGCGCAGTCTTGAGCCGTCGGAACGCCGACAAGAAGCAAATTCCAATGTTTGTCAACAACCTATGGGAAATCAATGATGTTGGCCTCTTCGGGCCCTCCTGGAAGACCTCTTGGAGGCCTCTTGGGCCGTCTTGGAGGTTTCTTGGGGGCTTCTTGGGCCGTCTGAAGGCCATCTCAGGCCGTCTTGGGTGCATCTTGGGCCGTCTTGGGGTCATCTTGGGGCCAACTTTGCCGTCTTGGAGGCCATCTTGGGCGTCTTGGAGGCCTCTTGGGCCCTCTTGAGGCCGTCTTGGGGGCCTTTTGGGCCGCCATGGGGCCATCTTGGAGGCCTCTTGAGCGATCTTGGGGGCCTCTTGCGCAGTCTTGAGCCAATGGAAAATCAATGATGTTGGCCTCTTCGGGCCCTCCTGGAAGACCTCTTGGAGGCCTCTTGGGCCGTCTTGGAGGTTTCTTGGGGGCTTCTTGGGCCGTCTTAGGCCATCCGAAGGCCATCTCAGGCCGTCTTGGGTGCTTCTTGGGCCGTCTTGGAGTCAGATTGAGGCCATCGTCGCGGTCTTGGAGGCCATCTTGGGCGTCTTGGAGGCCTCTTGGGCCCTTTTGGTGCTCTCTTGGGAGCCCTGGAAGGCCTCTTGGGGCCATCCTGAAGGCCATCGATCAAAGGAGGAGCTGGGATAAGATTCGCCCCCCCCCCCCCCAAAGAGGCCAAAATTGTGCCAAAACTTTAGTAAAACCAATAATTTGGGCGCCCAGAGGGCTGGTGGGATAACGTTCAGCCCCCAAAGAGGGCAAAATGGGCCAAAACCTTAGTAAAACAAATGATTTGGGCGCCCAGGGGGCTGGTGGGATAACGTTCGGTCCCACCCCCCAAAGAGGCCAAAATGGCGACAAGACCTTAGTAAAACCAATGATTTTGGCTTCCTCACCGAGGCCGTTTTGGACGCCCTGACACCTCGCGGGGGGGCCCGAAAAAGTCCAGGGGAGGGGTAAGGGGAGGGGTAAACCCTTCCCCGTAGGGGAAGAGGATTTTTGTTGGAAGAGGGAAAAGGAATCTCGTCAGACCACCTGTCGCCCAAAGGGTTGGTGGGATTATCTTCATTTTTCGCTCGCCGTTTCGGTGTTTTGCTCTGACAGAAATCCACGCAGAAATCCGCTTCAGCACGTCTGCAAGATCGATGCAGTGAGTATTGTGCCATCGCAGGCGTTTGCCTGCGCGTTCGTGGCCTTTGGGAGGCCGTTTGGGGGTCTCTCGGAGCCTCTTTTTGTGTTTCTTTGCGGTATTGCTAGGACCTCCTGGGGCGTCAGGGGGGCCTCTTGGGGGCCTCTTGGGGGCCTCTTGGGGGTCCTTTGGGGCCTCTCGGAGGCCGGGGCCTCCAGGGGACCTCTCTGCGCCTGGAGCTCGAAATGTCCGTTCGGGTCCCCCGTCTGGGCCCGCTCTTGGAGCCGTCTCTGGAGCATCTCTGGCCATATTGGAGGCCTCTGGGGCTGTCTTGGGACCCTCTGGGGCCGTTTTGGGCGCTCTTGGAGTCCTCTTGGGCCGTGTTAGGGCGATCCTGGAAGCCTCTTGGGCCGTCTGTCAGCCCCGGTAAGCCGATAAGGCGAGATCACCTTCAAAAACTTAAGGAAAGTTACACATGTCTGCCTCTGTGGGCTCTCTTGGAAGGTCTCTTGGAGGCCTCTTGGGGCGTCTTGAAGGCGCTTTGGGCTGTCTGGAGGCCATCTTTGGCATCTTGGATCGCCCTTGGACCGTCTCGGACCATGTTGAGCTCTCTTGGAGGCCGCTTGAAGCGCTCCTGGAGCGCTCTTGGGAGCCTGCCTGCTGGGACCTGGCCAGGATCTGGCCAGGACCTGGCCGGGACCTGGCCGGGACTTTGCCGAGGTATTTTTCGTCCGGGGACCCCTAGGGGCGGCACCGCACGCGCGAATTCGAAATATTGTTAACCAATTACCGAAGATCGTAGCACACCCTTGGCCCGTTGGGCCGGTGTTTTCCGCATTTATTGCTCATGTCTCCTTCCCCCCAATTCTGACCCCCAGGAACAGAAGAAGCAGCGGGAGGCGCGCGTAGTGGAGCTCAAGAACAAGTGCGAGGCGCCGCCGCCGTCGTCGACGCCGGGGCCGCCGTTCGTCGGTTGTCGGTCGTCGATCGTCGTCGGCGCCGCCGCCGTCATCCTTCTCGTCGCTCGTCGTCCTCCTACGTCGCCGTCGCCCTCCGTCGTCATAGTCGGTCGTCCGCCGTCCTCGCGCGACGACGCCCGAGGCCATCGAGCGCCGCGAGTCCGAGCGGCGCGCGGTGGACGAACGCAAGCGCAAGGACCTCGGCGCTCTGCCGCGCCGGCAGCGGCCAGCCCCCCCTCCCCCCGATGGGAGGGCAAGCTCGCCTCGCGGACGGGGCCCTGCGGACTTCTGCCGGGGGCGGAGGGACCTGCTTGGTCTGCTCCTCCTCCTTCTTCTTCGGCAGGCCACTGGGCGCACACACCCGAAGCGTCAGTCTCCTCCTCCTCCTCCTCCTCCTCCTCCTCCTCCTCCTCCTCCTCCTCCTCCTCCTCCTCCTCCTCCTCCTCCCCCCCTCCTCCTCGGCATCTGGAGGCCTCCAGGGACTCCTGGCAGTCTTCTGGAGACCCAGGCCTCGTGTCGACTCGAGAGACGCGCTGGAACTGTCCGTGAGCCCCAGGACCGCCAAGGAAAGTCCTCGGGGCGAGAATGCGGCCCTGGGGGAATGGTCGAGAGGCCTGGGAGCTAGCGAATCGAAAAGGGCAAGCCGTCGGAGGTCTGGGGATGGAGGGAAGTGCTGGATGACTTGGCCTACGCCGCACCCGCCAATCCCCGGAGGGGAGAGACCGTGGGTCCGTCGTGCAGAGACTCCGAGCCCAAAGCATAGACGAGAGCAGCACGTTGGGCGCGAGATTCCTCGCACCCACGGGAGAGGCGCGGCCACGACGGCACATTGTGTCAGGAGAAGGAGGCGAGCAGCATTCATAATGTATAGTTGTGGAGGGAGTGGAGGGAGTGAGAAAGAGAGAGAGAGAGAGAAAGAAAGAAAAACAAAAAAACAAAAAACAAAAAAAAAAAAAAAAAAAAAAAAAAGAGAGAGGGAGAGAGAAAGAGAGCCGGCCATGAAGGGAGACGCCCTACCCCTCCCTCCCATCCTTTCTGACCATTGCGTAGAGCCGCTCTCTGGCCGCGACAGTCGGATGTCGGAGCGGGCATCGATCCCCAAAGGGTACGAGATGCAGGGCAAGGTATGGAATCGAAGCGTAGCCTTGCATGACAGCATCGAATTGCATGCCATGGTTGCATGAATGGCGCCGTCGGGAAACCATGCTGAAGGACCGACAATTTGAAGATGAAGGCTGCAGCGGGAGCACCGTTTGGAAGGACCGAAAACGCGGATATGAAACCAGCACTGCAGCGGAAGCACCGTTCGGAAACACCAAACACGGAAATCAGACACGCGTCACGGCGGGAGCACGATTTTGAAGGACAGGAAGCGCGAAAATGCGGCCAACGGTGCAGCGTGAGCACCGTTTTGAAGGACCGTAAACAATCGGATTGGAATCAACATGTACGAAATACCGATGTTTGAAATTCTGCATGTGAAAACATACGCGGAGAGTGCGGGGTGAACGAGGCAGGGAGTTGGAAGAGGAGACACAGAGAGAGGCCGAGGCTGGTTTGGAGCTCGGAGTGGGGACCAATAAGTCTGCGACGGTCCTGTCGGCGCTGGAAGCGACATGTTGTTGACCCGATTGCAGAAGAAGCCTGGCGAGACCCTAAGCAACAGGTCGTGAGAGGGGGCAGACTTTCGGAGGACGAACAGGGGACGGAAAAGGATGAGTAAGGGTAGTGGTGATGAGGAGGATGAGGGCGGAGGAGAAGGGGCCTCGCGGGCGGCCCCATCAGCCCTCCGAGACGTTGCGGCTCTGGAGGCTGGCTCCCGAAATCCATCACTAAGCCCTCGCCGCTGGACCCTGTCAGCTAGCCTCTGCCACGTGCCGCCCCCTGGCTCACTGGAAATGCTTGTTTTCGGGAGTGGCTCTCCGTCCGAATCCTGCCACTAGCCACAAGTCGTTCCCCAAGCACTTCTTGCGCTGACGAGCTCGTATTGATTGAGGTGGAAATTGAGATTGATTTCGAGATTCGCTGGTTCCTTGGACTGGCCCCGACTAGTCACCATTGCCCATGCCACAGGCCCGTTTCTCGCCCCCACTCGCCCCAACTTGCCTTGATTCGCTGGGAGTTCCTGTCTCTACTTCCCTACTCGCAGAGGCGTGCACGATCTAAAGATTTGCACGATCCTGCTCCACACACAGGGACCTCCAAGCCTCGCTCGCTGTGGTTTGCGTGGAGCTCCCGTTCCGGACACAAGCCCCTTGTCCCTACTTGCCTTGGTTATGTTGGGAGCTTCCATTTTCGACACTGGCCCCCACTAGCCCCATTTGCTTTGGTTCGCCCGAATTTCCGCTCACCACCACTAGCCCTTGCCACTGGCTCCCACCAGCCTCTGCCAGCAAGCATCCTCAAAGGTAGTTGGCGAAGGAATTCATAAGGATTTGTTCCACAATTTCAGTTTCACGGACTAGCGCCGCTTAGCATTGGCAGCCCTTGCCGCAAAACCCAAATTAATGTCGGGAACCTATTTGCCCCCCTGTGGCTTGGGCATGTGGTAATGAGGCCGGGCTTGCGATATGGAGCAATGGGGCCAGATTGGGACGAGGCGTCGCCTGGGCTGGAGTTCTTTGGGGCTCCCCAGGGTCGCTAATGTATGCCAGGAGCAGCTATCATTGATCAGGGTTCATTTTGCTTGATGTGAGGGCTGTTGTGATTTTCAACTTTCCCTGGACTCCTTGTTCTTGTATTGTGTCGCCGGGAACCGAGGAATGTCTGTAAAGTTGCAGGTGCTCCTTGCGTGAGTAACAAGTACTCTCTTCCTCTCTCTCTCTCTCTTTCTCTTTCTCTTTCTCCCTCTCTCCCTCATTCGTGTCAGGATTTCTCCAAACTCTTGGAACGTGCCCGCGCTATCATTACTTCATTCCTCCATCGGACCATGTTTCTCCACCGGCAGCAGCCAAGACTTCTTGTGTCCGCGCGAGCTGGTTTCCTTTTCTCCTCGCCAGCTAGCCCCTTCCCTCGCGCGCGTTTCCTGCACCCCGCTTTGTTCACCAATCAGTGCTTGCACTGCAGGGGTCCTCGCTGAGATTGAAGGATTTGGCGGAAGTCCCAGGCCGATTTCGGTGGGCGGATTGGTTCCCGGGTTCCCGGTTCCGATTTCCCGGGTTCTCCCCTCCCGGTTCTTGGCCGATTTCGGTGGGCGGTCGGGTTTCCATGATTGCCAGTTTTTGGTTCCAGGGTCCATGGCAATGTCAGGTCGGTTAGGTTCGCGGCTTCCGGTTCTGGGGTTCCTGGCAGTATACGGTTGGTTGGTTTTTGGTTCTCTTGGCATCGCTCGGACGTGTGCATTTTTCTTTCGGCGAGAACCATCGAGGAACATCCTTGATCCTTTGGCGAAAAAAAGACGCACGAAACCGAAAAAAACACAGGAATGGACGTCCGAGCGATGGCGAGTTCTGGTGTTCCCCGCAGCGCGAGGTTGGTTGGATTCCCAGGTTCCCGTGGCGGTGGGCGGCTGGGTTCCCAGGCATTTTGTTCCCGAAAGGGTATTTGGCAGTGTAAGGTTTGGTGGTTTTTGGCCCTCCCGGTTCTTAGTTCTGAATTTTTGGTAGCGAAATTACATGGGATTTGGGATGCCTTGGTTGTGGCCAAGAATTTGGGTCTGTGACCGTGCAATGTATACAGGGTAAGAGAGTCGCGAGCAGAGCTGACCAGGACAGAGAGAGAGAGAGCAACAGAAGAAATATGTGCGAGCATTGTTTGAGGAAGCATAGAAGGATAGATGGAGAGGTCAGAGTGAGAGGATATTTAGCACAGGTCGAGAGACTACATGTCCGATAGCACTGGGCGAAGGCGGGCATGGAGAGAGAAGAGAGGTGCACGCAGAGAGAGAGAGAGAGGCGGAACAACAAAAATGATAAGGCAACACAATCATTGAGCGTATGTAAATACATTTTGTAAATACCTATAGATGGGAGTGGGCCTACGACAAGAGAGTGCAGAGTGAGGTGGCAAGTCAAGACAAGCCACCCCGCACGCACGAGAGTGGGCCCGCAAAGGGCGCGAGGGAAAACAATCAGGTGCCTGCGCGCTGCGGATAGGAAAGGCGGGATGAAACATCAACTCTTATGTTGCCGTGAGATCGTCCGCCCCGAGGTAGGGCAAGGCAGAGACCGAGGAGCCAGAGAGAGGGAGAAGGAGAGGGGGAAGGCAGAATCCGAGAGACGCTTGCCGACAACATCACGTTCTTCGCTTACACAAAAAAATGGACCAAGCCAAGTTGCTGCTGGACGCCTTGGCTGACGATGTGGCAGAAGCCGGAGTGATTCCGAATGCGACCAAAACGGTTGCCATGACAACAAAGGCACAGCCTCCGCAACAAATTGCCACGCGGGCTGGCCGCCCACAAGTGATTGGGATGCATGCGAACTGCTCCGGAACGCACAGTTTGGACGTGGATGTTCATCTCGTTATGCGTCCGGAGTGTATATCCTACTGCCCGCTCTGCCTTTGTCCGGTCGCGTCGTGACGTCAGTAGCGTGCTTCATAGTCGGTGTATGGAAGCCGAACAGTGACCCATTGTGCAAGATAGGTTTCGAGCTCAGGCGATTGTTGCAGAAAGTCGTCGGCCCGCCTGCAGGCGTGGATAGGACTCACGCGTGGCATGGGACCTTACACTTCTGGCACGAAATGGTCCGTCAAGTACTGACGGGACATGGTGCTCGCACATGGTCGGGACAATATTCGGAATCAGTATTGGTATGTTACAGCATACGCTGCACGCTTGCCTCTCGAGCGGTGGGTGCGGAGGTCCTTGTATGTGACGCCTTCAGGCTCACGCTCACAAGGGCGTCCTCTTTTGTCATGAGGTGCGAGGACATCTAAAGTAAAAGAGACTTCACGTATAATTACCTGAGAAGTACCACACCCCTTTTCCACGCGAGGTGTAAATTTGTAGGATCGCTCCACGGACCAGAGCACATCGCCAGATATGAACGATTAGTGTTGCCCTCATCTCCGCCGTGCCTCCCAAAAGCCAACGAAAGCGGCGACAGTTGCACAGCTCGCAACCACCCAGGGAGCAGCGAGGTCTCGGCTGTATCCGGGTGGCCCCCGACTCTGCTGAACCTCCCAGAAGTTTACACGAAATTCAGCTACGCAATTCGCAGCAACCCAGGGAGTTGCAAGGTTTCGGGTGCTCCGATAGTCC